ACCGGCATCACCCAGGTGCAGCAACAGAAGTGGTGGGCTTTGGAAAGTCCTGGCCTAGCCCAGGTATTTTTAGTATTAAAAATGAGCATTTCAGCTGCAGTTAGCCCAGGGAGTGCAGATTTCTCTCTGATCTCGTTCCCAAAGGCCACGTGTGCTCAGGCAGGCTGTAAATAAAACCCCACGGACAACGGAAACCGTCCAAACAGCCTCTGATCGGCTGGAAACGCACGTTGCGAGGGCGACATCCCGGCCTACTTACCGCCCAGGCATGGTAATTGCAACGTGCTTCTCTAAACACAGGCAGAAACCTGTAACTTTATACCAAAGCTCTCTCAACTACGTGGTATTTTATATCACGAAATTGCTTTTACAGGTTTACAGATCTTAAGTTACATCGTGTTTTTCCTGCTTACCAGAGGTCCCCTGAGATCACATCATCTGCCAGATAAAACTGCTGCACTGCCAGCAAACATGTTAACATAACTGATGATATACGCCACATACAACAGAAAAAAGCATGGTAAGATAGGGAAATCCCATGGGTTTAATTCTTCAAATGCTCTCAGAATACCTGCCTCAAACCCAGCAATGGCAGCCAATTCAGCTATTCGTTACTTATTTACAAAAACTTTATATTTCAGTGACAGCAAACCTGAGCCCAGGAATGTGCCTCTGTGCTGGGACAAGCCGAAAGGGGACTGGGAAAGCAAAATGCTTTCAGTTAACAACAAGGATAATCTGTTTTGCTTTGAGGCAAGCCCAAGAGACTTTCTGAAAGATTTCAACCCCCAAGTCCAAGCAGCAACAGCAGCTCACCCCTCGCACAGTTCAGTCAAACCCAGCCGTGCCCAGCAGCCTACCTGGGGATTTCAGTGAAACCCCGTGGCGTGCAGCTTCCTTTGAACAAGGACGGGCGAGTCCAGCCTCCGCAGGTAATCCGTGAGACAACTGGATGCTATTCTGCTCTAGAAAGCAGTTACATTTTTTCCTCACAAAGGACCAAACTCACACGTTTCTGTTTGAACTCTTCACAAAAGAAAGGTTTAGCTGCGAACAGTAGAAAGGATGTTATGTTTTAACACAAAACCTACTATATACACACAACAAAAGAACCACAGTGTGCCTCTCTTTTTATTCTTTATTTTACAGTTCACAATTAGAAACCTACTGATAAATTACACGTTCACCCTCCTGTTTGGGGATTTTAAATGCCTCATAATCGTGCTGCCAATCCCGCCTCATCCCAGAAAGGTGGCTGGAAATGCCAGCAGGTTACACGAGGCTGGCACGGGTTGCCTGGCCCCTCTAACCCCTCTGCAGGCTGCTCTTCACCTGGGAAGTTAACAGGCAGCAGGAGTTATCCCCTAAAAACACATGTGAAATGGAAAAATAGACTGGATATCATTTCAAGGTTATTTTCTAGACTTGCAAATGTTACAAATGCTCTTGTGGGAAAAAAACCCCAAACTTCCAGGGCTGCAGGTCAGCCAGGTTGTGTTGGCAAGGAGCCACTGCCCCAGACGGGCCCTTTCCAAGGCCTGGCATCTTAAGCGATTCTCTCCGAAGCCTCTTTTTACAGAGCAGAAAGGTGTTAGGTCCCTCCTCAGCCACGCATTTCACCATCTCCTTAACTTTGTACACAGTTGCGGCCACCAATTCAGATTTTCACCAGTGCTACCCACACCCCTGCTCATTTTTTTTTCCTGCTCAGAAGTTCCTAATTTCTCAACTTTTTTTTTTTTTGGCCTCCAACTCCTAGTTCAACCATCTTCTCTTAAAAAGATGGCATACACGGCACAGCACATCTGCTGAATTGCAACAAGCTCCTGCAAATGAAACCCTATGGAAAACACCAGGAGTTTTCACATCAAGTCTAGCTGAACATCACAGGGGCGTTATTAAAAAAAGCACAGTAGTGCTTGAACCTTCCTTAGCCAAGCGCCTCCGAATTGAGGGTCACGGTGGCACGGAGACTGTAAGAGCTTTTCCAGCTGGTGCAGGCTCTCTGCTGCAGTGAGAATCGCTGGCTGCGTGCAGACCTGGACCTTATCTAACCCAATGCTGCGAGTGAAACCCAGCTCTGTGCAAAGAACCCCCACAAAGCCACCGCCTCAGTGAGGGAGAGGAGGGCAGTGCGTTGCAGTGGTGCGAGACTTCACCATGGGGCGTGAATTTCACTCGCAGTAAGTTAAGAGGCCAAATCCAGAGACGAGGCTAACGTGCACTTGCCAGTAGAAACTGGTGACAGATGAGAATGGACAGAACACACCATGAGCATGTATTTATAAAGAGGGGAAAAAAAAAAAAAAAAGGGCAAATTGCCTTTGTTTTGCCATTACAAAGAAACGTTTTACCAGTTTTCTCCTTGTATCCTTCTACAGTTGCTCACCTTTGGCACAAGGAATTCTATGTATCACAAGATTTAATTAATAATAATACTTCATATCAACACTCAGCACTTACATAGCGCTTCTCATATTCAAAGTGCTTTACAAAAGTTTGAGAGTCCTCACAACACCCCTGTGAGGTAGGTAAGTATTATTATCCCCATTTTACAGATGGGGAAACTGAGGCAGAGAGGTAAAGTGACTTGCCCAAGGCTATACAGGGAGTTGAAACTCATAACATAGTGGCCCAATTCTGGTCTCCCTTATGGTGGTGTAACACAGATGAACTCCCACAGAGCTATACTGGTGTAAGCAAAACAATCCAACCCAAGTTTCTCTGGCTCCCAACCCTCCGCTCCCATCAACCGACCACGTCTGCTCCACCCAAACCAACGGTTCGCCTTCCAAAGCGCTACAGAAAGTCCAGAGCGTAGCAGGAGCAAGTCTGCAGTCTTAAGGCAACATGTACGTTAACAGCTCCATCGCTCTGCATCGAGTTGGACTACACGCAGACGTGTTTCTGCCACGCTGCAGGCAGCTTAAGACAACTCAAGTGGTCTCCAGCTCTGCGTGTATCAGCTTTGAGGCTGATTCTCTTCTCCCTCAAGTTAGAATAAATCCAGAGCAAAACAATGGGGCTGCACCAGCGTAGAACTAGTACGAGATCTGAACCAGACCCTTCACCTGCTGCTTTGTAGGCAAATGCCCCTGCTAATATCTTTTCATTTTGGACAGCTTCGGCACGGTTCATTTCACTCTCCCTCTCTCCGAGTTTGTATCTCTGCATATAAACAAACTTCCAACATTTCCAACTCATCAGCACCAGCATTTAAACAGCACCATACATCTTTCTAAGACCAATCAATATTTCCAGAAAAGTGTCAATGCATGCAAATATCACATACAAAAACATCAAGAGTGCTGGGAGATGATACCGAGGATAGAGGTGATCACAAGACAGCACACATTTAGTTTTTATTAAAAATACCAAACAACTCACTCTTACTGTAACTATGCCACTTAGATGATCGTTCTAACCTGCAGAAGTACAGGTGCTTTTCCTCCAACTATTTACCTACCTACCTAGAAAGAAAGAGAAATAGCAAGCACACACATTTATACTTCCTCAAACTTGGCAGGCATGATTCATGTGAATGGGAAAGGAGGGTTTGGGGAGGTGGGTGAGATCGTACACTGGGTTTGGGGCAGTGGAGTACGAAAGAAGTAGAAAATACCACATGCGTCATTACCATCAGTAATCAATCTGATGAAAATAAACCCAAAATTTAGATGGATTCATGTAGGACATCCACTGAAAATCTCAAACCCTAAGCACACTGAAGCTGGCAAACATCTTGTGCCACTTCACCTATGTCCAGACACCGCATCAGCAAATAAGATCAAACAAACCTTGAAAAGAAAGCAAAAGGAAGAATAAACCAGCCTGGAGACAACAATCTTCCACAAACCACTTCCCTGCATTATTTTCAAATACATTTTACTCTTAGGCAGTTTCAGAAAGGAGTGGGGGAGAAACAGACCCACTGCTATTTCTTTTTAAACTGGCTCAGCACCAGCACCAGCTCAGAGAGAGGGAGAGAAAAAGAATTCTTCAAACACGATCCTTGGTACTTGATTAAAACGTTGCTAGCCAGCCGACGATACCCTAAATTGCCAGAGGGTTCGAAGTGGAGTGGATACACGGTGCTGCTCACGGACCTCTTCGTTCGCTATGATATCTGCTCCGTGGGCCTCATCTGTATGTCTCCAATCTAGGAGAGACCAACATAGGATTTTACTGGAGCACTGAAGTCCATCTTAAATCCTGCACTGGGCACTTTCATGCTGCACCATTACAGTGGCAAGCTGCGCAGGAAGAAAGTTCCTGTGCCTAGAAACGAGCCTGCTTAACTGAGATACTAGAAAGAAATAAAGGTGAATGCGACTGCGCTGCCTGTAGCGGAAGGAATAAAAGCACAAACGTGCACAAAAGAGTGCAAGATGACCCTGATCGTAAACTCTCGTGGTTCAAGTCTTCAGTTTGGTCCTGCTCACAGAGGGTCAAGCAGAAGCACTGCTTGATCAGCCACGGGCAGGACTTTTTATCCTCTGCAGACAAGAAGGCCAGCTATCACTACTGATCCACTGTCAAGACAGCCACGTCTTGCTCCAAAGGAGCAGAGTTCACAGAAGGGGCTGCTAAACCTCTCATGATCAAAGTTTGCTTTTGCAACAGGAACGTCTATGTTGCGTATACTAAACTTTGACACTGGTCCTGCCTCCTCCTGGCTCCAGCTCAAAGCTGGTCACTTGTTTCACAGGAGGGAAGTCCCTCTGGCAGCACAGGCATCTCACACCGCCCTTGGGAAGGTGCACAGCACTTGGCAGAATCAGGCCCAGCACGTTATTTGGCAACTGGCACAACCTGACCGAGCTGCAAGACAATCAGCAAATCTGAGACGGCGCCATCCAAAAGGACAGAACGTGTCCATATCCCTCCCGTTCCCCCGCCTTGCGCAGTCTGGGATCCAGCCTTCGCTGGATCTGCGGGGCTGTGAGCGGCCCGAGCGGCGCAATCCCATAGCTGCCTTAAGGGAAGGGTAAACAAACGGGATCACTGCTAATCCCCAGCGCGGGCTCCACTAAGCACAGAGCTGATAGAGCGGCCGCAACGCTGATTAGCAAATGTCAGGGCAGCAGTTTCCCTCTCCACCTTCACCCACCCACTGCAGAGTCCTCCAACCCAACTGCAGCCTACCTGTACATGAGGTGGGGCACTGAGGACATATATGACAGCGTTAGCCATATCTTCAGCTTTGAGACACTGGAAAGACAGGAAAGAGATTCTCAGTCAGAGGGCACATCAGAAAATTAACCACAAGATCACTCCTTCCCTAACCATCAGTAATGACAGTGTTGCTAGGGGCATGTCAAAAAGAGGCAAGTGGGCAGGAAAAAAATAATCCATTAAAAATTTAACAAAGGACATGGCTGGTCCTAATAATTCTCCATTTGCTGTGAATAATCTTAGTACTGGCACAGGAGTTCTGCCAGGTCAGGCATTGCCATCCTTAAGAAAAATTACCAGAGAAGCACAAGAAATCCTGTGCTGGCCACCTGCAAGACAACACGCTCTCGCATTTTGTCTTGTGTAGGCATATTTGCTTATTACATCTTCTCACTAAAGAAGCTACAGCCTGCCAAATGTCAAAGTTAACTGATACTAATTTACAGGAACATCAAAATTAAAGGGAAAAAACAGGGAGTGGGAAACTGAACCTGAATGAAAGTCTATGTAGTGCGTAAATATCGGTGCAAAATCTGAGGTTAGAGTGCTGAGGCTTTGGGGAACCTGATTACACCCTGGAAAGCACCGGGCATTCTGCAGAACTAGTTCTTTGTGCTGTTAGCCAGGAAAGAGACTGTTGAACTACAATCAGAGCCACCTCCCTCTGTTTCCATTTCTCCATGTCCTACCCGAATACTCTCATAGGTTGCAGCAGCTCTCTCAGGGTCATTATCATGAAGTTTAAAAGCAAATCCCGTTTCCACCAGTCCTGGAGATATACACTAGAAAAAAAGCAGAGCACATCTTAATATGATTTGTAATTCTCCTTCAATATAACAATAAAAAAAAAAGGAGAGAAAACTTTTTAGCACTGTAAAAGAAAAAACCCTCAGCCACCTTTCCATTGTTCTCCTTCCCTGCCCTTTTTCTCAAGGAATAGTTTGAGAAAGCAGACTTTGCCTTGATGTGGCAAGTACCTCTGGGGAACCGCCAATGGGTACTTCCCTCTTCATGCCCCAAAGGGACAGAGAAGCAGAGAAAGTGATGAAAAACCCCTCACAATACAAATTAACTTCTGGACACATCACTTCTGAGATGCAAATTCTGAATGAGAGCCAACAGCCCAGGTGACTGCCTCCCTCTGCTGTCATGAGCCCCGCTCGCTCCTGGACAAGCAACTGCCTACTTTGTGCATCCAAAAAGTTTATTCCCTGACACAGCTCATTGCTGCCGTGCCTTCTGCCCCCCAGTCTCTCTCTACCTGGGAAAAAGAGGTGGTCAGGGACAGCTGGCCACAGGACTTGAACATTCCCAGTGTGCTGAGCGCTAATTTTGCATTCCCCTGCCCGTTTCCCAAAGGGAAAACTTCTGCCCCGTAAAACCTGCCAGCTCTCTACCACCCACAGAAGCAGGAGAGAGGAAGCGACCCCGCAGTACTCACCGTAGCACGTATATGGGTCTTTGCTTCTCTGAGTTCTTGCCTCAGCCCCTCCGTGAGGGCTGTGACCGCGTATTTGGTGGCACTGTAGAAATGCACCACCGACTGTGGCACAACGCTGTGGCCGTTCATGCTGAGGAGAGAGCAGAAAGGAAAGTGCTGAGAGGTGGGAGGCAAGCAGAGGCCCGAGAAGGAACAACAGGATACCCAAACCATCGCAACGAACACAGAAAGAGACACTGACATGGTGGCTACGTGAGGAATTCCCCTCTCCTTTGGGAAACACACACCACCAGAGGGTCCTCGCGACACAGTTGTTTTCTGGAGCTGGTCAAGAAGTTTCAGTCTTCAACCCTGCACCATAGCAAGTGGTTGGCATTATCCTTTTCTCCCTGGTTCGGTCTTTCTTGCATTTAGACCAGCAGAGGTTAAAAAAAGTGGTTTGAAAGAAAAAAAAAAAAAATCAACCATCGCAATCCTTGGAAAACTCCTTCTTGGGCACCATCAGCCCAGTCCAACATTAAAGCTCCACTGCTCAAACCCTCTCTACGAGGCAGGGAGGCAGGAAGCCCACGTGGCTGATCCCACATTCCTCCCCTGCGTACCTGTTAATGTTAATAATATGCCCATCATCAATGTTTCTCTCTTTCATGGACTGGTAGGCCTCTCGGGTGCAGATGCTCACAGCCATCACGTTGACCTGAGGGAAGAGAAAAGAAGAAACTAAGACGAGTGGCCCTGCCTGGCACCCTTTGACTTGTCCCCCACCCACCCGAAGCCACGGACGCAGGTTACGGTCCCCGACCCACAGCAATTCCTGCAAACGCCAACAGAGGGAAACGCACATACGCACACCACACGCCTCGCCGCACACCACACGCCTCGCCGCACGCCCCACGTCACGCTGGGACGAAGCTCGGGGCTGCAGTAATGGGGGTTTGGGCAGGGGAGGCACAGACACCCAGTTTTGTGAGACAGCCTTGGCCTCTGCCAGAAATAAATGGACTTCATCGATTTACAGGCAAATGTGAGGGTAGAGTGTGAAGTAAAGGAGAACAAACCCACTTCCCCACAGTCAGCACTCTGTCCAGGAGACAAAGTTGTTTATTTTGTACAGCACTGAGCACACTGGAGTTTGGGCAGCTGATAGGACACTAACAGCAGGTAATTAGGTCAGCTAATTAACAAGGAAATCCCCGGATACTGCCTGTCAGAGAGCCTGGTGCTCAGAGGCACTGCAAACCACATGGCCAGCAAAGAGCTTCCCATGCACAAATGACGCCAAAGATCACATCGAGCCACGGGGAGGGCCCGAGTGGGCAAGTAATCCTGCAGATATGAAAGCCACCGACGTGCCACATTGTCTGCTGATGTTTTCCTCAGCCCTAACTGGATAAGCCAAGGAAGAAAGGACATGGCAATTCATCCAGCACAGGATCCAGAGCTTTCCAGCCTCTTGCTCTTTGGACCACGCTGCCCAGCGCACCGTGGCTCGGTTAAACTCAGTCGTATCACCTCTGCAATGTGCCACTGTTAACGCGCAGATGCCTTGAGCATTTGCTGATCATAAAACAGAGTCAAAGTTTCCAGGAAGACGGAGATATGGAAATTGCCCCAGCTGGAATACAAAGCACCCAGAGGTGTGTGCAAGACTGATGAGCAAGCCATCTCAGCAGCAGCGCTAATTGCTCAAGTTCATAGTGGTTTAGATTTGGAAAAGTAGCTGAAAAGAGGAAAGTGTCTGCTGAAGCCCTGCAGAAAGGACTTAACCATTTCAAGGCAGGACACACTGGCAGGTCCTACCTAATGGCATGTCACTTTGCTAACTAAATGGGCCAGGCAGGTCTAAAAACACCACGGTGAATGAAATACCCAGGAAGAACTAAACTTCTGATGAATCAGAAGTCAGGTGCAACTATAAATGGCAGGAGCAGCAGAAACAAGGCCATATGGACAGTGAGCAAAGGATACGCAAGCGGGCTAGCTATCATCGCTGCGAAACTTAAAAACAAGAATGGTGCAGGCTAACTAGGACCTGCTAGCACAAAAGGACAAGCAAAACAGGAACATTAGTTTGGAGACCAGAAAATAAGAGGCAGAAAGGGATGGATTTGTGAGATGTAATTACTGAGCAGCACACAGAGGACAAGTGGAGTCGGCTAGAAGGATCTTGTCGCTGGTTTTGTCTCGGTCGTTATTTCTATTCATTTATAGAGGCCATGCTTAGAAGTTTTTGTCTTGGCAATAGATTAATGGCATGCTTATCTGATCTTGGAGTACCCAGGCAACACAACAAGTAGAGTCATCATCCTCATCCAAGTGCACTTTGGTTGAGCACACAGTCACTGCCGGATATCTCAGTCATCATACCTGGAACTACAGAGATAAATTCCCTGGCACCAGGTTGAAGATTTACCTTGGCTGTGCAAGGAAGAAAGTTAGCAGACATGTCAGCAGAAGTGGCACTGTACAACCACCTCAGTACTGGAGTGAAGCCCAGAGCAGGCTGGGCATCTGAAGGCTTTTGGATTTCACAGTAAGGTCAAGGAAAGTGGGATAACCTGCTCCAGTCTGATATACTAACCAAGTGAGGAGCCTGTCCTTTCAGATACAGATATGGGCAACTGCTAGTATAAAAAGCCTTTGTGACAAACAACATTCCTGCTTTCCTCCCTGCCCCAGGACGCCCTGAACCCACCAGGCACCATGTCTTTGGTGTGGTTGCTTGCCGGCTCCACTCCATCTCTGTAGACCACTAGAGGGTAACATCAGCCTAAAGCGTGAGAGCCGGCTCCAATGCTGTGACTCACACTGAGCAATGCTTCCTTGCGTGGGCAGACTTACAACAGTTTGACAACTACTGGCAAAGCAAGATACTAATCAACAGCCACAAGGGAAAGTCCAGAGCTCGTACGATAAAACACCCTGGTACAACAAAACAACAGGCTGGAAGGTAGCTCAGCTGGGATTGCCTTGCTGCCTTTTCCCAATAGCACCCACAGAAATTTTGGGTGAAATCCCATTTTGAAATGTGGAACAGGCTTCTCAGGAACCTAAAAACATGCCTGGAAAATGAGCAAGTCTCAAGGCTGTATCATTTCAGAAACAATCTAAAGGCCGTTGTTACAAAATCCACTCAAGACATTTTTCAGCCTTGTTCCTATTTTAAGAACAAAGGGTTCAAAGGTCCCTTAGCAAAGACGGCCAACACACCTGCGCCCTGCCTTTGCACAGCGTGCTGCACAAGGCAGCAGGTCTGTGACTGCTGTGTGTGCGCGCTAATGCAATAGAAACAATGAAGGCACATTTTCTAGTAATTAACGAGTTCCAACTGCCAGGTTGGGAGAACATAAAAGATCCTGTTCCTGGAAGCGCTGAGCATTTCACTTCCCAGAATCAGCCTTTTTCTAAGGCATCAAAATGAGTATCCCAGCTCATAAGCACATATAAGAAATGCAGGTTACAGAAAACATCTCTCTGCACAAATGATATATAAAAGCAAGAACAGAGCCTTGCTGGTCGCTGAATAATGCCAAGAAGAATCAAACCCATTTAGTGTCTGGAGGAGTGAGAGGACATGTGCTGCAGTCCTTTGTGCCCTGAACAGTGCAAATGGAAAGTTCAGCTTGAATTCCTGGCTATAAAGGTCAGTAGGTAAAACGTGAAGGAGCTGTTCAAATCCCAGCGCCTGGAGTCAGTGTGTGCACAGCACCCAGCCCCGGCTGCTCCCGTGCAGATCAGGGACGGCTGGAGGACTTTGCTCCAGCCTCACATCAAGCACAACCTCACAAACGAGTAGAGAGAAAAGAGGAGGGGGAAGTTGTGAACCAAAAGATGATGGGCTCAGGGCCTGCCTGCGAAAACGCGCTCCCTCCCTGGCACACACCGAATTTGCTGGCTGGCAGCGCTGGGCTCTGCGCCGCTGTAAAGCAACAGAGACGTGATTCCTAACATGAGATTCCTGCAGCCTGGGGAGATGCAGCTTCCCCTGGGACCCTCCAAAGACGCTATACCAGACAATAAGGAACCGGAACATTAAAAAAGGAGGAGGAATTAGAAAGTGATAACAAGATTTCAACTGTTAGATGTATAGCCAGAAATTTTATGGAACAGGTATACCGAGAGGGGAGCCTGGAAGCAGACAGAGCCTCAAAGCTCATGAAAAATGCATGGAAACAAAAATCGAATTTACCAAAAAGAAAAAAATGCCTTTAATTTAAGGCTCTAATGCCTCCTAAGTCGATAGATCAATGGCTGTTTAGAAACTTCTCCTGTCTTCCTGCCCAGAAGGACATTGAAACTCTCCAGCAGCATCTCTGAAATGCTGCTCACTAACACCTTTCTCCGAGGGGCCTTTGGAAGAAGCCTCCCTGCTCTCGCTCGCCTCTGCAAAGCCCAGTGGCCCGTGAAAGATGCTGGCAACCTTCCCCCGTCCTGACCCTCCGAGAGCTTCAAAGCGCGTAGGAGAAACGGGCCTGGCGAGTGTCTCCCTGGGGCTGGTGTGCCACAGCAGGGAGAGCTGTCACTGCAGATCCCTCCCCAAGCCCCGCTGCCGCGCTGGTGTCTGCACAGCCACGAGAGCGAGATTTCCAAGCAGGGAGGTGGCAGCCACAAAACTGCGGACACACAGCAAAAGGAAAAACCCTGAGCCATTTCTACTGCTTACCAACAGGCTAAAAATCAAAACCCGGACTTGCCAGGCTGAGGTGGGTGAAGCATTTGGCTCTAGAGGGTCCCAGGGCTTCACCTTCACGTTAAAGGTGCAAGTGTTATTCAGACAATTACACTCAAGCCAAGAGCAAACCCACCAGCTGCTGGGAAGCTGGTGAGAGGAAAAAAAATCTGCCAGGACATGAAGAAATCTTGAGTGTCTCAGTCTGTTCCCGGTGCTACAACAACATTTTTGCCAAGCAAACAAGAGCAGATATAGCCATATAGATCACCTCTGGGAACAAAATAATCCCCCAGCTTGGTTTCCTAACGCTGCCCTTGTGGACCCACCACCCTGCCTCTCCTCCCACCCCATCCGTCACCCTGAAGCAGCTCCAAAGGGTGCACACAGCAGCACCCGTGAGGAGGGGGACCCCACAGGCTCCCGAACCCCATGTCAGGCCACTGTAAATACCAACACGGGAGTGCCTCATACAAGACAATCCCTGTTCCAAAATCCTGCTCCCTAAAACTGGTGGAAGGTGGGACAAAGGGAGCGGTCCCACCTAAACAGCCAGGGAAGGGAGCATGGAGAGGGGACGGGCCTTCAGCTGGCAAAAGCCACGTGTCCCCCCAGCCTGCCCACCTTCCAAAGAACAAAAGGTCAGGAGAACAAAGAGAAACGAGTGCGAGGAACATGCAGCATCCACGGCATCTACACAAGATGCGATGACAGCGACCAAGACAAGGAGTTTACAAGACGCAGACGACCCACAGGGCCAGGCTTGCAGCGAGACAACGCTGGGAAGTGCCCTGTTTTACACCAGCTCAGCCTCAGCTACACTTCACTTAATTTTCTTTAAAGACTCCATGGCAACCGGGGACAGGGAGATGCAACTGTGCAGTGACCCAGGCTGGGCAACCCACAAAAGCCCGCCTGGGCAGACAAAGCTGAGCTGAGCTTGCTCTGGCTGCAGTCACAGCAGTCAGCATACCGGCCAAAATCCTAACAAGAACTTAATTAGCCAGGATATGGCAGCTCTTGCCCTGGCAGCAGGAGACTGAGGCCTCGATGTGCCCCTCTGTTTCGCTTTACAGAGCCCCTGAATCTGCTGCTGGATGAACAGCCACCGGCTGCCGCAGGAGCTGACAGATCCTGGCTCACTCCGCTGTCAGATGCGGTAGCCCCGAGCCTATGGCTTCAAGTGGCTTTTCAAATAGACATGTCTTTTCCTTCACTAGGACAAGGTCTCACAGCTGCTGGAGGTGCTGCAAGGCTTACTGAAAGCCATGACTGCCACTGCTATGTGCAGAAAAGGGCCATCACGTAATGACAAAAGGTGGAGAAGTCCCAGAAAGATGCAGAGCAGCACCTCAGGACAGCAACGCCCAGGGAGAAGCCCTGCTAGTAAATGGCGTGGACCATTTGCATGAACTCCCAGTTTGGCATATGAAATTGCCTCGTTCACATCCAGCTCTAACCAGATTATGGGCAGAAAATTAAGCTATAAAGACAAAAAACATTGCAGCTTTTTAAGCCAAAAAGAATCTGCCCATTTTGCAACCCACTGCTACAACTAACAGGATTAGCTACAAAAGCCAGTGCTTGGCATTCAATTTCCTGTTCTACTGAAGAAAAAAAAAGCGAGACTCATCACCCTTTAGAAAGCCATTGAGCTCTAAAGGGAAAAACGCTACTGAAGGTATTGAGTGTTTTTATACTCCAAGGTGAAGGCACGTGGCTCAGCAGCACGTGATGTCTTTCCACTTCCCAATCAACAAACCCTCTGTCAGAGCCAGAAGGGAAGCAGGTCCGCAGCTCTGCACACGTGAAATAAGTAGATGGGGACAATGGTGCTGGTGGCCAGAAGAAATAAAAATCTAGCGCAGTTCCTGATCTCCCAGTGGCACTACTCACATCTATCATCGTCCGCCAGCCCTCCGTCTTCCCAGAGAGCAGGGGCTCTGGGCGAGCCAGCCCCGCGTTGTTGATGCAGACATCAACTCCCTGATGAAGGGTCTTGATGGCGGAGAACATCGACAGGATCTCCTCTTCATTGGAGAGATCACACTTGTACGGGATGAGGGTCCCCAGATAGCCGGCACTCTGGCATTCAGCTGCCAATTTCTAGGGAAGAGAAAGAAAAAGAAGAAAACAGCCATCAGCTTCCTCTCCTTGTGGAGCAGCTTATCCAGCCATTTGCTTAAAAACACACCCCTGGGCTAACAAAGCATGGCAGCTTCCCGGTGAGCCCGCCTTAAGAGCAGGCGCTAGGGAAGAATCATTGTAAATGCTAATTAAGAAAAAAGAAATATCGATATATATGAGAGTCTGAGCCCTTCAGCCTTTAAGTTATTAAACTTGAGGACACACTCTGTGCTCATTCATCACCCCAGGCAATACAGGTTGAGGTGAGCAGGTGCTGGCAAAATACAAATAAATACTGCTGCGGCACCAGGCTGCAAGTCTGCCACATGGATAAAGGATGCGGCGATCGCATGCCTGACAATTCCTCATTAGCCATTACCAACAATTATTCCAAGCACCCAGACCTCTTATAAGACTACATGATATAACGCAAATGAAAGGCCAAGAGCTGCTGCTGGCCGCCTGTGTTAATGATGTGGCAGTCACCGCACCAAATCCTCTGGAGGATGCCCTTTACCCCCTGACGCTAATGAGAAGCAGCATCTCGTCTCTGATGTGTCATATTAGCGACAGTGACAGCTTCCAGCGCAAGGCGAGAGCCACGTGATGTCTGGTTTCTGTGGAGAGATGGACTCTGGCTACAAACGTCCACCGAATCACTCGAACGCCATCACCCGCGGCGGTTTCACCAACGTGACATTTCGGAGGGTGCAATAAAGCTGGTCTCCTGCCAGAGGCAGCTTTCCCACTCCTCCCAGCTCCTCCCTGCGGACCAAGGACTGCAATTCACGGCCGTTTATAAAAGGAGGAGCAAGGCCAGCACAGCAGTCCCCTGGCTGAAAGCGGAGGACGGCAGGATGGTGATCGCACATGAAGGTGGCTGCCGAACATCCCGGCCCCAGGTGAGCACCTGCCCTGGAGCTCACCCGGCCGTGGCCAGAAACAAAGACACGGGGAAGCTGGGCCACCAGCTGCAGCACCCAGGACCACCCAAAACACCACCGGGAAGCTCACGCTGGAGGGATGCTGACTGGTTTTGCTTGCTGTGAGGTATAGCATCACCTCCCAGACTGGCCCAGCCCTGTCTGGCCTTCCAGGAGGACGCATGGAGAAATTCCCACATTTTGGAGAAGGCAGATGCTGAAAACAGCCCCACCATCTGTACTGATGCAGGGAGGAGCCTGGAGAGCCACGCTGGTCTCAGACACAGCTCGCTCTAATAAAAGTGGTGGCAAACCACACATCGAAGGTGTCTTTCTCCCTGGGGAAGCTAGCAAGCCCCAGGGTCCCTGTCCCTTAAAAAAAAAGTTCTGTCGCCACCTGCCACAGGGACAGACTTGCCCCCCAAAATGCCCGGCATCGGTGACATTTGCAGAGTTTGTCAGCCTGATGTCCAAATTCTGAAACAGACATTAGACAAAAGAAAAAAAACCCCACAACATGGAACGTAGGGGAAAGTGGAAAGAGAAGGGAAAAAAAAAAAAAAATCAGAGACAGCACAGCACCTGCTCCCCCGGCGCAGGCTGGCAGGAGAGCTCGTGGGGCTGCATCAGTTCACAAACACCACGGGACCTGGCAAATGCCAAACCAAAGCACGGGCCCAGCTCCCATCCAGCTAGCCTCCCACGTGTGCCATCCCACAGATCAGATGCCAGCATGCCTAGGAATCCTGCAGGTTCCGATCCCCGAATTTTTGTTAGAATCGTCTCTCTGCTCCCCAGCCAGCACGACACAGGACGGCTGCGTGCCTCAGGGTAGTGAGGAGGGCTGACAACTTGGTTAGATGCCACAAAGTCCAAAAAGGGAAAAAAAAATCCACCTGAAGATGTGAATTGGCTCCTAGCTCCAAATCATAAAGTGTGTTTTCATCACTGGCTTTTTCGGTGACCAACTTTCTCTTAGCCAAGTTTTACACAGAGCAGGGCTGAGCATCCTCCCTGGGAGAGGGACAGACAGGCCGGGATCTCAAACCCTCTCTGTGCCCCAAGCACATTTATTTTAATTACTCTGGGGCCAGCGGCTCTGTTTGGTAAACGATTTTCAACCTTTCTCAATACCTAAGACCACTGCAGAGGTGGGCCAATCCCCGAACAGTGAGCGAAGCTTTTCTGATTTGCCTTTCACAACAATCCACAGCTTTCGCAGATCACAGGCTGAAACCAGCCCAGGTCTAATGGTCTGGTCCAGAAGCTGCTCTCCTTTCTGGGTATCGCTCCAGTGAAGGCATTGCAGTAACACAAGAATTATTATTATTGCTCTCAAAGCACCAAGCGAGAAGGGGACGGACGTGCTGAGTTCAGCCCGGAGATCGATACATCCCAACAGCATCGTGCTCTCTGGAGAGCTCTGCTCAGGCTGAGCTAGACAATATTTCTGCCTGACGGAGAACAAAGGTGCCCCTGGGACTGAATCGTACCTCTCTGTACCCTCCCAGGGCTGGTTTCGCTTTGCTATGCGTGCAATCTTGTTGATTATGTGCTGATAATAGTAGAAAAATATATACTTTTTAAAGATCAGAGTACACACTCAAGAAAACAGTTGGGGGGAAAATCTGCAAGAGCAGCATTTAGAAAATTAAAAACAGTACGAAAGGCTGCTGGAAGGTGCTAAACCACTCCAGGGATGGGGCCTTGTTCCTGCAAAGATACAGGAGGGAAAAATGGGCCCTCAGCCACGTTCTTCATAGCCCGGCACCATCATGACAGCTTCAGGGCTCTCTCCATCCCACTGCCCAAACTCGAGCTCTCCACTGAAGGATCATCCCATTCAGTATTTGGTTGTAAAGTACCACGGCTCATGTCTGGCATTTTTTCTTCCCAGTTCGCCATGTCACAGCCAGGACTTGGAAGAGGGATGGTGTCCTGGCACCTCCTGCAATTGCCAGGCCACGTTTAGTTCGCTTGATCGAAAGCTGGGCTGAGTTATCTTTGCCGTGGTGCCTCCAGTTTTCACTGCTGGTGTCAGTGCTCGTCGCAGGTAAAGCGGGGTGCCGTCTATCAAAGTTCGCGTATTCACACGCAGAAAGGAAAAGCTGGGCGCACATCGTGCCCCGAGGCTGAGCATCACGGTGCACCCCAGAGCTGCCAGGAGGAAAGCTCACAGCTCACGGCAGGGACGATCCCGCCAAATTCAACCACGCTCAC